TATATATATATATATATATATATAGTATATATATTATATATACATATAATATATAAAAATAGATATCAAAAAGGATGTGGCAGCATACTAACACATTGCAGCGCATCCTAAACAAACAGAGACAGAATCATTAGCATATATTCAACTTCCTCTTCCTCTGCTTCAAAACGTGCTGAAAGTGGAACTACCGTTTGTGTTGGATTGCCACAATAACCATTTTATTTCCATTGTCTTGTTCTGACCAAAATCGTAATCGAAATCAAAGTTCAATTATTTGCCCAGCCTTATCACATGGTTCAAGTGACTCTTTGTTTACTGGTGTTTTCAACTGAACTGTGCTAATGGCGTGGAATCTCTGCTCACTTTCTGTTTAGTTGTCTGTATCAACAGTACAGGAAGTTTCATTTTATTCATCTTTTTCATATTATTTTCATATAATTTATCCTTAGCTTTGTTGATATGCTGTCTAACATGGTTTCAGTTTTAAGTGATGTCTTACTGTGGTGCAGGGTCGATCCTACACACTACAGCAGTGGTTTCTCTAACCTTTTTTGTACCAAGGACCGGTTGGCTGGTAACAGCCGTTACTGAGGACCTGTAATACTGCGCCATCATTGAAAGGATCATTCAATTTTAAATATAAAACATCTTTTAGACTTTATTCTGTATCAGAGTCTGAATGACCAATTGGTTTGAAACATTACCAGATTATCTTTAAATGAAGAAAGTAAATGGATATGACTTGATGTTTTTTTGACTGGTAGCAAATGACTTCGGTCCCTGAACCAGGGGATGGGGACCTCTTCACTACAGTACACATTACTCTATAATCCACTTATATAACACGGCACGGTTTATTGCACATTAATTGAAACCCAACCTTAAGAAGCATCAGTGACAATACTTATGTATGGGAAAAATAACGGTATCAGTGCATATCTTCCATAACATTCAATCATTTAATAATATATAGTTTGTGACTAGCCTTATATTATGTTGTTGAATTTAATAAAAACAAAAGATGTTTTGCACCTAAAGTTTCTATTGTAATAGTCTTTTGGACTAGGTCTCGTGTTTGTTGGATGTATTTGTTGTTGGGACTTTACTGCCACTGAATGAATGAACATTGAGGTTTTATTTTGTGTATGCGCACACGCATTGTCTTACCTTTTGATAGCCAGAGCCAGGTTCTCCATCTCCAGGTTTTGCTGCCTGATCTCTTTGGTGAAGTTCAGGATGACTTTTTCAAACTGGGGTATCAGTCTGGGTTCTGTCAGGCTGATGTTCTGGTACAACATTGCTGCTTGCTCATTTCTGGAGTGAGATAAGACGTTGACATAATATCTTAATACTTACATCTTGACAAGACTGTTAACATCATAGTACATATTTGAAAAAAAAATCCTGCTACACTTTACAATATAAATGATTAGTCAAAATATATATTCACAGATGCACACTCTGAGTTTAGGAAAGGAAAGGTCATTGTCATTGTGACACACATCACTGCACACAACGGGTGTGGGGACGGTGCCATGCTGAGAGCACCTCAGTGGTAATAGATTAGAATACTTCTCCAGTCGTTTATTTTTGCTTTATTGTTGGACCTGACGTTTTGCTATTAAAACGAATCGACCATCTACCGGCTGCTTCCATTCCTTGCCTGAAGACACCTCGCACAGCAAGAATATTTTGACTGGTACTGTGATCTGGATCAGAATATAACAAGAATCTTTCAGTGGTAACTTGTCAGCTGGTGGATTCAAACCTGAATTATTCAACAGTAAACAAGTGCAGCGATTTAATGCATAAGAGTTAATAATATCAAAACACAAAAAACATTTAAACAAATAAAATATGTTTTTGTCTTTTAATTTGTGTTTCCCAACAAATGCAGATAATATATCAAAACAAATGTATATGACCTATGAGCTTTATCTTAAATTATTTGTATTAGAAATTAGACAAAATTGATTGATATATTTGTAAATAAGACAACATACATACTACTGCAGTACTGTTTATCAACTAGTAAAAACGTTATTTGCTGCCAACTTAGTCAACGTCACTGTTTGAGTCACTGCAGTGAGAAAGCGTTCATTATCGCGGTTTGACAGTAAAAGCTGAAGTTGAGTGTGTGTGTGTGTTCACAAGTTTGCTTTTTGACAGGTTGGGTGGGATTTATTCTCTGTGTACAGATGAGGCTAATCACACTATTTGCTTACAGTGACACACTAGTTAAAACAGAATGACATATAGAAACACTGTTTTTGTTCACCTGTCTGCTCTTAAATCCACTTCTACTACAGCCCTTACATATTTATTTAGCCTAAATAAATGTCCAACAGACATGACCACATTATAAAACTGAGGAAAGATAATCCAAAACAGTAACTGTCTCCTACTGTCTCCTAAATCTGCTATATTTCAATAATATCAATATTTTCAGATACTGAATTCAATATCCAAGTGTTTTTTTTTTTACACCGGATGCTGCCTGTTCATCTTTTTAATACGGCCCACCAAACCTTTCCAAATTATACAATTTATTTATGTTATCATTATACTTACCAATATACCAATACCAATATACAGAAAACTAAGCATATGGACAATATTGGCATATTGGCGTATTGGATATCGGCAATCGTCGTTTCGAAACCCACTCCGTTTACAAATTTATGTATTTTGCAAAAGTTATTATTATTATTATTATCATCCATCTTCGCCCACTTATCCGTTACCCGGATACACGGAACCGCACCATTTCGCAAAAGTGTTCAATTAAATATTTTTATATTTAAACACAAAATATCAATACATTATCTGGTGAATGTGTTTTTCCTGCCCTTCAATAGTTTTGATTTATTTTCATTCAGATTGCACAGATACCTATTCATCAATAATTAATGATGCATTCAGGAATTCAATATTTTGCCAATATAGTGTGACATCGAAGTAAAGATGAACCTACTTCAGGTCACCATTTGACCCATTGTGGTTATTCTCCAGTCAGGTTCTCTCTGCTTCTTATTTTTTTATTTCACTGGTCTCCTAGTCAGCTGAGACTGTGAATAATAGCCAAAATACACAGCTCCTTAGATAAACTGTAATCATAATGGTATTATTAATAGGAACCTAACAGATTCTTGTGCTAATTATCTACAACACAAAATATGTTTTCATCTCGTAGAAAGCAGACACTGTGTTTGCCCAGTTGTGTTTCCCATACTGCCACGTCTCAGCTGACTCTTGCAGCAGCGGCTTTTAGCAATGGATGATAAAAGAGTGTATTAAGCAAAAGGCACCGCTGTGACAATCAATGTTCTGATGCCACAGATCTGCAGCGGGAGGTAGAGTCTCATGTCAGGCTCGGGGCCAAAGATGTAAACATACAAACACTGCAGCTAATAAAGGAACATGGAGGGTACACAAATTTGTCCAGATTTTCCCAAAATGAACTTAATGTATAGACACTTAACTTTACACTGCTGGCCATCTCTGGTTTAACCATTAATGTAAAATATGTGGATTATTTCTTTATATTTTATGGTCAACTCAAAAGATAGAGCATATATGAGATACCAATGAAGGCTGTGTCAGTGTTTTACTTAAAAACTTTTGCATTTTTAGTAAAATGATTTACAATTTTTTTCACTTGGAAAAAAAGACAACTTATTTTTCTTGAAAAATCAGTTAAAAACATTACAGTCACAGACAGTATTGCAATTACTTAACAGGAAGACAATTATTAATGAAGTGATCGTGTAATTGGCCATAAAACATCTGAGTTTCCTAAGTTCAAACATCCCAGGACATTTGATGAGAAAAATGGGTTGAAAATATCTTCTTTACCCTCTGTATTTAAGCTGCTGATTTTAATTAGCCAAGCAACAAAATAGAACATTGAATAACCACGGCTGAATTAGGAACACAGTGTCCATTCATTCACCGTCCCTTCAAATCTAGCTCTAGGAGGTAAAAAATATCCAGGCTGGCTGTAATACAAATTAGTGATGAAGGCAGAACTGAAGCTTTAACCTAAAGACGACTAAAACTGGGGGTCTACTGAAAAATGAGTTTCCACCTTTTATAAAAACTGTTCACCGTCTATTTCCATGGTAGATCAACTCTGTAGAAATTCCGGGTTTACCAGGTCTACAAGGAGCAATTGGGCAAAAAAAAAACAAAAACAACAGGATGCCCATAACATAAACCCCCACAGTGGCAGCATCACACCTAGGGGCTTTTTGTTTTTAAAGCCAGAACTGTTTTTTTCTTGCCAGCTAAAAGACTTTAGACAAACTGGCTCACATGTTCACATCATGGACATCAGTAAGGTCAAAATCATGCATAAACATGCATAACCCCCTTAAATGAGGTTTTTTTTTTCAACAATACTACGTCTATATTTGGAGTATGGATATTCTATTTCTCATATGCGTAACTTATGTTAGAGTTCTACGTTGTCCACATGACCCTCAAATCCTCAATATCAGTATGTGGAACCCTGCAAAATTTAGATTCTGAGTGACAGTGCGTGGTCTAATTCGTGTATTTTGCAGAGATCATCTTGACATAATCCTGAACACTGTTCACAACACTGATATAATTTTCGAATTTCCATGAAGTTTCCCCATCTGCGCACTAGCCCTGCCGCTTGCAGACGACCAGTGTGCGCCCTCACCTGGGGATGAACTTGGCCTGTGCCCCGAGTCTGCCGGAGAAGTCTTCCCAGGCAGCAGACCAGACCTCTGCTCCGTCACTCTCCATGTCTTCACCGTAGCGATCGTAGAAGCCGCTGATAAACTCCAGCACGGTGACCGTGCCGTCCTCGCCCACGTCAAGCCTGTCAAACACGCTCTGCGCCGCGGCTGTGGACACTTGGAGCAGCGCACAGATGGTGAAGAACTGCCGTCTTTCGATCCTCCCAGAATTGTTCACGTCGTAGGCGTGAAAGAGAGAGCGTAGCCGATCACGCTCCTCTGAGCTCACGCCACTGATGGAGACATAAGGCTGACTGGGAACACAGAAAACGATTCATGAATAACGATTGACTAAACCTCAGGTCAACGGTGCAACTTCTTACCTCCTGATGGCTCTACTTTGATCTTATAAAAACATGTCTACAAGTGAAAGAAAAAAAAAACCCACTACAAAACACTAACGTTAATCCACATTTATAAATATAAAGCTTGAGTTCAAGCTCAAAACTCCTGCTCCAGGTTATTCCTGTTTGTTTTAGCCAGTTACGGAGCTGAGTCTGACACAGGTGAACGCAACAACCACCTGTGTTCGGCCTGTGTGTGTGTGTGCGTAACCTTTTCCTCAACAATAAAGGTCTGGGCTTGAGGCCAGAAAGAAAGTGCTCTCACGTGTTGGCTGTGGTGGCCTGTAATGGACCACGAAAAACAGAGATCTGCTGTGTAACTGCTGGATAATAGGAGAATTAAGATATTATATTTGATATACGTACTAGGATGCTCTCCCTGTTATTTACTCTAGTACTTATCACCTCACTATGTAAATCACTTTGACAAGTTGTTTTCACTCCAGTCTGTTTCTCAGTTCAGTTTCACATTACAGTGTTGTTACAATATTAACAATAATAAAATAGCAAGTAAATAAAATAAAATAAAAATGCCCCCTGCTCTTCATCAGATACCCGCCTGTCTGGTGGAATACATCTGTACAGTATTTTAACAAATATACTTGCTGTATTAAAACTACTTTTGTACTTTTGGAGATTACATTTTTGAGTTTCTGAAAAATGTTATTTTATTTATTTAAATTAAACAGCTTTTTAACTGCATAATTTCTCTCTGGATGCTCTCTCTTAATAAATGACTGCAGAAACAACAAAAAATGACAAAGGATTCTCTGTTGACACTTTTGTCTCACCTTGACAACTTCAGCTGCTTGTTGGTAATCTTCTCAGTGAAGGTGTCCTCCGCCTTGCACTTATCTTCCTTATCTTTGTGCTGTTCTTCTGAGCTGCTGGTCAAATCCTCAATGGTCACTGTTTCACATTTGTTACGAAGTCACAAAGGATGAAGCCTCAGAACAGGGCAGTTTGTTTTAAATGTTTTTTCTCTTTCTTCTTGCAAATAGCCTTCAGTCAGAACCAGTTTCATGCATAAGCAATAGGAGCATTTGAATGATAAATAAATGAGTCAGCAAGGGAATTGTCCTCCAATAGTTTTACAAACTACATTTGAATTCGCCTGCTTGATGTAAACACAGGAACGTTTGACTACATATCCCCCCCCAAAAAAAACTTCCATAACAAAAGATTAACCATATTCACACTTTTTTTCATCCCTTGGCTGGGTTTGTGACTTATACTCAGGTGCGACTTGTATATTAATATATATAATTTTACCAGGTTTGTTGTTTTCACACTGAGAGCCACTAGAGGGCAAGGCTTGGGCTACCAGTATCTGCTACTCCTGTACCACTGAAAATGTACATGTTCCTTATTTTCAGACTGACACCCACTAGAGGGCACTCTAGGCTTGTGTACCAGTACCTGCTACTTCTGTACCACTGAAAATTTACGTTCGTTATTGTCGCACTGACAGCCACTAGAGGGCACTGTTGCAACTTACGGCCCGTAGGAGTTTTTGTATTGTGGATAAACTCCAACATTTGAATTCACTTCTCTGATCTCTGGCTCAGAGGGGAGCTGGACACAGCCGTACAGATGGAGAACCTTTAGCCTGAAAAAAATAAGAACAAAAAAAGTCAAGGTAAATATGACATATGACAATGTGATGGTAATTCTAAGAGCCTGTCTCAGAAGGTAGACTATAGTGTGTTCTCCATGACGTCTGAAGTCATAAAGAAAATTTTTATTGAATGTGTGAATTCACCTCTGGCTGTTTCTGCAGCGCTGCAATATCTTCTCTGAGCTGATGTGGGGGGAACTCAGTCTAACTAAATGAACGTGTCCAGTCCAGTAACTGGCGAGTAGACTGATGCTGTTGCACGCGCACGCACACACACAGAAACAACAGAGAGAGAGAGAGAGAGAGAGAGAGAGAGAGAGAGAGAGAGCTTTACTCAGCTTTACTGTGCGATGATTAACTCAAAACTATGACGTTGACCAAGTTGGAAACAAAAACCATTTGTATTAGTTGATAAACAGTACTGTAGTAGTAGTAGTAGTAGTATAAATATTGTCTTATTTTCCAGAGGGTTCTAGAAACCCTGCAGCAACAAATCGGCACAAATATATCAATTAATATTGACTTTCTAAGATAAAGCTCATGGATCATATACATTTCTAGTGACATATCATCTGCATTTGTTTGGAAGTACAAATTTTCACCCTTGTGCGATCCTTTGCATTTTTGTACACACTGTTTGTCCTTGCAATGATTTTCATCTTGTCCCAGAATATGAGTATTAATGAATATGAGAAAAAGTTGGCACAAGTCATGCAGTACAGCAACATGGACACGCACACATACTCACGCACGCACACACGTGTACACACACACACACACAGACACAAAGACTTATTGGGACATTACAAGGGTTAATATTTTAATGAAGTATTTTTTGATTTACTGACTTGGTCACAGTGTTTTGCTATTTTTAACTATTATGCATTAAGTGTATGAATAATTGTAATTCTTACCTAAACTCTAGTCTAATCGTGCATTATGTACTTTATATTAATTGTTTGGCATATTATTTTAGTTATATTAGTTTTAGGTCTGCATGTTGAAAATCATGTGTTCAATTTTGACTGCAGCCTTAATTCCATATTAAACGTAGTGCATTCACCAATATTTGTGGATTTAACCACCTCAAAGCCAAGTTTGTTGTTTATTTACCCTCTGTTTCCTGTGCTGGTAGAGCTGAGATCCAACTGCTCATGTTTTCTACATGCCAGAGAAAGAGCCCGAACGGCTGTGTCTGTTACTGCTTTACAGTGACTCACATCCAGAGATCTGAAACATGTAGTTACAATGATTTCGGTAGACATGGTTCAGGGTGATATGTTAACAAAGGGACAAAGATGTTCATGTTTCATTATGTTGACCCTGGACCTAAGACATGGTGCGTATTTGCTGATATTCTGCAGTGTGAGGTCAGTGACCCTAGGGCAGGAGCTGAGAGTCAAACTCTGAAGTGTGCACAGTGTTGAAGCACAGTGGCCACAGTGGCATCAGTCACCTGTTAAAAAATTAAACAAAGGCTTTACATTTCGCAGATGATCAAACAGGGTTATATTCTAGTTTAAATCGAAACTCACTGCCTGAAGACCAGTGAGATTTAGAGTCAGGAGAAATTTAAGGTGTGACATCATGACTGTGAGGCTGGGCACCTTGACTTTAGGCACTTGTCCAATGTTGAGATGCTTCAGGCCTGGATACATCTGAAACACAGGGAGAAGACAATACTGGGGCAAATGACTATAATGAATGTATATAACACTAATGCAAAACAAACACGACTTAGACATGACAAACAGCGCTACAGCCATATAGTATATTTACAATGGTCAAAAAGTTATATTTAAATTTAAAAAAATACCTCACATATTGTCTGCAAACAGGAAGATGTGAGATACTGGCAGCCAAACACCTGCAGTCTGCACAGACTCAGGAAACAAGAAAAAAACAACATAAGAAATAATACGGACATGTTATATATATATATACTGTATATGGAAATTTTATTGTACATATTATATATACACATGTTATTGGACACATTA